CCTTTTTTTTTTTCTTAGTCTTTTTGAAACAGGGTCTCCCTGTAGCCCCAGCTGTCCTGTAACTCACTATGTAGACCAGGCTGCCCTTGAACTCACAGAGATCCACCTTCCTCTGCCTCCTGAGTGCTGGGATTAAAGGCGTGTACTATCATGCCTGGCCTTTTCTTTCTTTCTTTCTTTCTTTTTTATTTCCTTTTTGTTTTTTTGTTTTGGGTTTTTGGGGTTTTTTTGTGTTTTTTGTTTTTTATTCTTCTTCTTCTTGAGACAGTCTCTGTGCAGCTGAGGCTGGCCTGCAGCTTGAGAGCCTCCTGCCTCAGCCCAAGTGCTAGGATTACAGTATATACCACCACACTCAGAGCTTCACCCTTTAGGGGTAGAGAGGAATGATGTGGGGAGTGGGGATTGTGACCCGCCCTTTCTTAGTCAGAAGGGTTTTGTTTTAAATACTGAATTTTCTTTAGTGGAAGACTACATTTAAATAAACGGTTCTGGAAGTGTCCTAGTTTGTTTCTCCCTTGCTGTGACAAAGTACTCTGACTAATACCAACTTGGGGAGGAAAGAGTTTATCTTACATCTCCCAGGTCACAGTTCATCAGAGAGCCCAAGGTAGGAACTCAAGGCAGGAACCTGGAGGCAGGACCTGGAGCACAGGCCGTGGAGGTACACTGCTTACTGGCTTGCTCCCCTGGCCCCTGCTCAGCCTGCTTTCTTATGCAACACAGGCCCACCTGCCCAGGGTGGCACCACCCACAGTGGGCTGGGCGCTACCACATCACTCATCAAAAAGATGCCCCACAGACATGGCCACAGGCCAGTCCAACAGAGGAAATTCCCCAATTGAGGTTCCCTCAACCCAGGTGTGCCAAATTGACACTAAAGCTATCCAGTACAGGAAGTGAAATATATTAGAAAATGAGAGATCTGACCCCTCATACATACTCGTTTTACACATGAGAAAATACTTTCTGTAGCTATCTCTATCTTTTTAGTGTCTGCCATCATCAGTTTTTATGACTTTCACATAACCTCTCTCCTCCATAGCCCCCTCCACCCCGCCATACTCACTGTTTACCATGCTTAGTGGACAAGCTGAACTGCATGAAACTGTGATTTCAAATTCGCAAGTGGATGGCAAGAATCACCAAGTGAGAAATAAAGATGGCGCTCTAAATTCCTGTCTGTGCTGATGTTTCAAAAGGTGATGAGGAGGGAGAAGCAGCAAAGAAGTATGCTCTCAAAACTATGTTGTAGTGTATGTACTGATCTTCAGCACACAGGGCTCAATTCAAAAATTACTCTTCTTGAAAAAATAAATGTTGCTTCCCACATGAACATGAGTTTTACATCTGGGATGCACTTCACTGAGTAGTGTAATAATCTGAAAAATATAAGATTTAACAATTTCTCACTATTTTCTGTAGTTCCTTCTGTCCCTTCTCCAGCACACGAAATAACTGCCAAGTTAAGTGATCTCACATTCTGACTTTAACACTTTATTCTTCTGGGTCTTTATTAAGGTTGCACATTAGAATTGGTAGTGCTAAAAGTAATACTTTTTATGCAATAATTTGTCTTCTTCAGTACTTGTAAATATACTTTTGTTGATATGACACCAGCATAACTTTTCCCGGTCACTAGTCTCCCCCTGGAAATGGTGCCATAAAATAAGAATACTTACTTTTTCAGATTTATCATCATAAAAATGTTTTCTGGCTACCTTGAGTCTTTTTTCATCTTAATATTTAATTCAAGTATAGGAGACACTGACATAATTTGACAGTTTTAGATACTGTAAATGTGCTCTCTCCTCTGCACTATTAAGCCACACTTAATTCAGGTTGAAGACTATCCTGAGTGTAATTCCTTAGAAGTTCCTGTTGCTCACTAATTGGCATATTGTGCAGTCACAGGGCCCATATCCACGGTGCCTTGGCCCAGGGAGCAATATCACATGAGTGCTGTGAACAAGTGATTTATTATAGTATAGATGAAGCCACATATAATTTAGGTAGAAGCTGGGGAGGAAAGGGTCCAAAGGAGGATGGGTAAAGAATTGGAGTAAGTCACCTTGAACACAAGCAGAGTTGGTAGCAAAGAAAAATCTATTTTGACACTGCTAAACAATAGTAAAAACGATTTTGCTGATGAAAGGGACTGCTGCAACAGGTTTGTTTGTTTGTTTGTTTGTTTGTTTGTTTTGGTATGGGAGAAAAATCCAGCTCAACAATGAATACAAAAGAACAATGAGGGACTTAGGCCTCAGGAGCAGGGTGAAAGGTCAGTGAATGGAAATGTGCAAAGAGGAAAGAAATTATCAGGGACCAGGAGAATTCTGGGTAAATAACCTTAAGAGAATTCTTGTGGAACATAAGCCAGAGTGATCAGGTTTAGTAGGATTCTTGCTAAAAACAGGCTTTAACAATCAAGGAGAGAGGCAAAGAGCCAGGACCTTGACAAGAAGGGGCTTAGAGTGGCCAGAGGTGAGTTTAGTCAGATTAGAGTATTTGTTTCTGGCTCTGAATCTAGAGATGGGCTTCAAGTTATTACAGGTCAGTCACCAGGGCAGCTAGGTGGGAAGAAAACAAACAGAGGAGCAAGGAGAAGGCAAACTAGTACCTGGGATACCAGATTCTCACCATTTGAGAATGGATGCAGAGGACCTATGTAAGCCCTTCCTCCTCAAAGAGGGCACATGCTTAGTCTAAAACTCATGAAGGTGAAAAAGAAGGTTCAGCAAGAGTAGGAGGAGCTGCATCCACCAACAGGAAAGTCAATAGATTTTGTGGTAGTATTGGTATTCAGAGCTGTGAACTGATCTTTCAAATATAAAGGTTTCTACCTGGTCCTTCTCCCTCCCAATTCCAAGCAATTTCAGCCTGACTGAAAACCATACAAAGAATTCTGAGAAACTTAACTGTAGCCTAAATTGCCACAGAATAAAATAGTTGTAACTAGAAGTCATTGCATATAAAGCAATCCAAAAATAAACTTGTCTCTCAAAGATAACATAAATAATGCCTATCACAATATATAAATTACTGTGTTCATTTTCAAATTTTCCTCCAACTTCTCTAATACAAGAAACATTGCTACTACAAAAAAAAGAATTTATTTCACCCTTACTAAGACTAAATTTAAGTTTAAAGGAACACAATACATTACTACCTGAACACTTTATTTCATGTGTATGAGTGTTTTGCCTGCACCCATGCATACAATGCCCCCAGAGGCCAGAAGAGAAAGTCAGATCCTCTGGGACATGACTTATATAGGGTTGTTACTGGCCATGTGGGTGTTGGAAACAGAACTCAGAGCCAGTGCTCTTAACCACTAAGCCATCTCTCCAGCCCCACTATCTGAACACTTTCTTAAGTGGAAATCTACTAAAGTGTTAACTTTTCTACCAAATGCCTTTTATCATCTCAGCTCTCCTCATACCAGCTTTTTACTCCTCTTCAGTCAAAAGTATTTAAACTCTAAACATGAAGCCCTCCTACCCTACCCTGCAATGTGAGTTTTCATCAATGACACTAAATCCTCTGTCAGAGCTATGTAAGTCTGAAATTAATTATGAATGTGAATTGAGTTCAAGTTATTTCTCAAAAGCTAACAGGCCTCATACAAACTAGGATATGCAGTATGTTACCTAATTCTGATTCATTGCAAAGCTAGCTTGGCTATGAGGATACTCTTAGAGGCCCTGTAATGTCTCTGTCCTCATCAGAGAACTCCCTCAGGGAGAGAGTAACAAGTTCAGCCTTGCCTGAAGCCTATCTTGATCTTGATCCCCAGAGACACCTTTCTACACAATACTGACACTGGGCTCCAAGATGTGCATTCTCCCTCACTTATCAGAAACACTAAGAGTACACCTGAGCACTTAGAAAATTTAATGGAACCTTCTAGAATTTGCTCCTTTTCAACTATGTTCAACTCACAATATTGGTATCTACTATAAGTCAACTAATGATAAGGATGAAAAGTTATCAGGAATAGAAGATCCACACTTTGCTTATGGCCTGACCCAAACTCGAGATACCATTACAGAATATAAAGCTCACCCCGCAAGGTCACAGGGACAGTGCTTCAAAGTGTAAATGAGGTAACAAATATTTCACACTTGCCCATAATGACCATGGGCCAGTCCTCTACCTACTTCCTTTGTATGGAAGCTGCTCCCTCCTCCATAGGGAGGAGCTGCAGACATTCAGGGGTGGCCTCACTGCCCAGAGCACTGTTCCTGCACACAGGCCTTTGTAGGCCTGCCTCACCAGGCCTCACTTTCACTTATTCTGAGATGGGCTCTTCCCACCTTTCTGCTTAGAGTTTGAGGAGGTTTTTTCCTTTTCCCTGAAGGGTACCCACAGACCAGCTTTGTATTATTTAGGATTAGCAGGGTATTTTAAAAATACAAATGCAAAATAATCCTTACATATTTTGTGTTTGTCAAAACAGGTCATGTTTTTCTCCTCTCCAGGTTTTATTCACTCAAGCTCAGTAATAATTTGCTCTTTTTTTTTAATTCCCAAGATAAGATCAACCCTTTGACTAGATTTTCCCTACTTTCCCCCCTAAAGTTATTTTAATTATTGTTAATTAATAAAAAGCAAACACGGCTTAATGAAAATCAAAGCTAATGTCCGCTATATCTACATATCTACATCTAAATTGCAAAGAAGTATGTGGATGCTATCTTCATCATCAGCAGATGCCAGTCTTATAGGATACCATGTGCGTGCAGAGACTGAAGTACATTAGATCTGTTGACTTTTCTCTCTTCCGTCATTCCATCATCACCCTTAGCACACACACAAAAGCAAGTTTGGCTCTTAAGGGTAGGTGATGAGTAGACGATACAAGATCAAAAATATCAAACTTTATTTTAAAATATTAAATTTACCAGAGGCTAATCAAGAAAAATCAAATATTACTTCTTCTTTAAGTACAATATTTCAAACAATATTTGAAATTTATCACTTTATTTAAGTTGCAATACTATTTCATGAAGATGTTGCCTCTTTCAAATACTGAACAAGATCTTCTCTCTCACTCTTCTTTTTAATACCAGCAAAGATCATTTTAGTTCCAGGGATATATTTCTTCGGGTTCTCCAAATATTCCATCAAAGTTTCTTCTGTCCAGACAATACCTATAAAGTTGAAAATAAGTATTAAGTCTTTGTAGTTATATTTTTAGGGCTTTCTCATATTGACCCACATATGTGAACAAAAGATTACCTTCTCACTCAATGGGAAAACTGTTTAGCTAATAATATAGAGAAAGTCTGGCCTGTTAGAAAATTCCAGAATTAGAGTCTACACCTTGGCTTCTTTGTAGAAATCCAACAGTCACATGCTATTAGCACTACTCAAAGTATTTCAATGAACTACCACTATAGGTATGCTGTGCCTGCACAGCCTCATCCTCCCAAAATCTGTTCCTTCTAGAGATCTCACACATCAATGTAATCCTTCCTTCATTTGCAGATGGGAAAATTAATAGCCCAAGAAAGCAGCTTGCCCTAACACAGCAAAACTACCCAAAGTCAAGAATTGTGACCACTGGGCCAGTGAGATGGTTCAGCAGGTAAAAGCACTTGCTACATAAGAGTGAATCTGGGTTCAATCCCCAGATCCCACAGTAGAAGGAGAGAACCAACTCCCTAAAGTCCTCTGACCTCCACATGCACACTGTGGCATGCATGTGCCCATACTCATACACACATCACACACACATACACACACACACACACACACACATAAATACATAAAACAATGTTTAAGAAATTTAAAAAACAATTGTGACTACTAATTTGTATTAATGTTCCATCTACAGATCATACCAAGTTGCTTCTATCAAGATCTCTCATCACAGTCCATGATTCAGAAATCCAATTTCAAGGTGACAGAATAAGTTGTCTTTGTCTCCTTTCTAAAACCAGTCAGAAGTACACAAACAACCTGACTCCTCCTGAAAAACAGTCCAGAGATGTGATCAGCATCTGAGACTCTACCTGCAGAGTACTGCCCACTGAGGGACTATATCTGTAACCTCATCTCCCAAAAGAAGGCCTGGAGGCAAGAGCAGGACTGCCCAGGTACAAGACAGGCTTCTAAGAAGCCTGGAAAGAAACACCATCAGACTCAGCCTCAAGACTGACACCAGCAAACAAAGCAACAGGCAAAATTGCTTTCATGCACTACACCCCCATCTAGCTCTGTGTCCTTCATAGTTATTCCCCTTTTAGCTAATGCTCATTGTCAATTTAGCCAGCTCTACCATGCTCTGTTCTTATCCTATCTCCCCCTTATCCTTTCTTTTTTCATTTTCCTCTCTCAAACAACATAGGCTGGTCAGGTCTGCTGGTTCTTGGTCTTTGCCTTCTGAGAGCTGGGAGTATTCTACATTATTTGATTGTACTTTATTGCCTTAATGTTTTCAGTCAACCTTCAGCCATACCTGCCTCGCCTCCCGTTCCTTTGCTCCTAATTCTCCCTCTTCTATATGTTTCCCTCCTCTACTTTTTAATCTACCAACCTAACACTAGTCTCACCTTAAGTGTTTGGGGGTTTTGCTTATTTCCCTTTTCCTTTCCACTAATACTCACAGGCTAACACATTAGTACATGCAGCACTTTCAGTGGCCCATTACTTCCCAAAATGATTGGTGTTTAAGAAGTGGTTGTGTTTTTAGTTGACCATCACTGTACTTTCATAATGGGCCTATCCTTTGATAGCAATGTTTTTGTAGACAGTATTCTAATTTCAAAGGAATACTGGGGCTCAAGCCTGATGCCCTGATCACCAGTCTAGCAAAGAAAACCAATACCTCAACTGTGCAACAACCTAGTCCTTCTTAAACATTAAACACTCCCTCTGAAAGAATGAAGAGTGATTTTTAAAATAGCAAATAAATTAGATCAACAACTTAACCTTGGATGTACTAGTCCCCAAACAAAACCATGAGTAACAGGAAAACCTAGGCAATATAACTCTTCAAGAGTTATTAACCCCACAGCAATGGCCTTCATTGACAACAAATCAAATGAAATCCCAGACTTCAAAGAATGATTGCAAGTATCATGTTCAAAGAAATCAAAGAAGGCATAAACTCCTGAATGAACTGCAGAACACAAACAACTGAATCAAATAGCAATGTCAACACAGGGTATGATAAATAATTGAATAAATAAATAGAAATGCTGAAGAGAAACATGAACTATTGGAAATTAAAAGGACAGAAAGTCAAACAAAAATCTCTATGGACAGTTTTGCCAACAGAAAGAATCCAGAAGAGGATCCAGGAGAGTACAAAGTATCAGAGCTTGAAGACCAGCTATAAGAACTGGAACATTCAACTAAGGACAAAGATAAATTAATAAGGATATAGAAGCAGAACTTTCAAGATATATGGGACACTATGAAAAGAACAAACCTAAGAATCATGGTCATAGGAGAAGACTTTCATTCTAAAGGCATAGAAAATATTTTAAATAAAATCATAGCAGAAAATGTCCCCAAATTAGGGAAAAGTTGCCAATTCAGATAAAAGAGGCATTTAGAACACCAAACAGACTAGACTAGAAAAGAATCTCCATGCATCACATTATAATTAAGCCACTACATATACAGAACAAAGAATTTATTGAAAGCAGTGAGAAAAACACCACATATGTACCAAGACCGATGGGATAACAGCAGATTTCTCAACCAAACTTTAAAAGCCAGGCAGGCTTGGAACAATTTATTTCAAGTTCTGAAAGACAACAATCACCATCCCAGACTATTATACCCAGCAAAACTATCTATCATACTTGAAAGAGAAAGAAAAACTTTCTATAACTTACAAACAAAACAGCTAAAGGGATTCATGACCACTAAAGCCAGCTCTACAGGATATACTTGAAGGAATCCTTCAAACTAAAGAAAAAGATAAACATATCCATGAGGTTACAAGAAAGAATAGTTCATACTAGAATAAAAGTTAAACAAGACTAGGAAACCACCAAGCACAATATCAACAAATGACAATAATTCAACATGAAATAATCTTTAGGAATGAAATAATTCTACTGCCCAATAATCTTATGATTAGCAAAATTATAATTCAAATGTAAAGGTAATCCTCAAATGTTTTCAAACATCAAATAACTGGGATAATATAATTCCAATGATATTTTCTTAGTATAGTAACCCATAGATAACCAACATTTCACCAACCAAAAGACAAATAATTATACTATGGCATACCTACTGATACATTTTGAAAAAGAATAAATGCTAAAATTATTGTGGTAATTATGGTTCCATGGACTATAAATGATACAGGTCATATCAGGGTAAAAATAATGTAAGCAGCAAGAGGTAGGAAAATAGTGAGTTCCAGGTTGGCAAGTGCTACAGGGAGACTCTGTCTCAAAAAGAACAACAACAAAACAAACAAAAAAAGAATCACACATGCAAACATAGAGGAATGACTTTTTTTTTTACCTTGCTAGAATCTTTTTTATTCAGGAAAACAACAACAACAACAACCCAAAAAACAAGAAATGTTTTCCAAACACACACAGGAGGGGGTATGGGGGGAGGTACCTGTCCATCCAGCCCCAGTCCTCAGCCCATGTGGTTTTGGCAGCAATAAGGGAAGTGGGGTAATGGCCCAAAAATAAAAATGGTATGTGTGTGTGTGGGAAGGAGGGGTGCAAAAGCTGAACGGAGTGGTGGGGGAGGGACAGACGAGGTCAGTACTGGGAACGCCGCAGGTGGGAGGCCATTTCATAACATTTCTTGTTGATCAAACCACCATGGACACCTTCTTTGCCCATCAGCAGAACTAGCGTCTTGGCCGTCATGGTGACAGTGATATTGAAGGTGGGCGCTCCTCCGGTGCTCTTGGTACGAAGATCCATAGTAAATTCCCCTTCTTGCAGCAGTGAGTCCCGGATCACAGAACATTTCTGGCCCCCGTCAGCCCGTTCACGAAAAAACTTGACCGGTCTTTGCCAATCAGGACACCAACCTCAGCTGGCCTACGATGGCCGCGTCCTGACAGGTCCCGTCCGCCATGAGGCTGTCGATGTAGGCGTTCGACCCGGCCATGGCGCTGCTACTAGGGCTGCTCTCGGGGCTGCTGCTGGGGCGGCGGGCTGGGCTCGGGCTGGCGGGCGCGGGGAGGTAGAGAGCTCGGGCACGCGCTGCCGTCCGGAACGCCGCTCTGCTAGCTGTGCAGCCGCCCTCGCACAGCCACTTATAATTCAAATGTAAAGGTAATCCTCAAATGTTTTCAAACATCAAATAACTGGGATAATATAATTCCAATGATATTTTCTTAGTATAGTAACCCATAGATAACCAACATTTCACCAACCAAAAGACAAATAATTATACTATGGCATACCTACTGATACATTTTGAAAAAGAATAAATGCTAAAATTATTGTGGTAATTATGGTTCCATGGACTATAAATGATACAGGTCATATCAGGGTAAAAATAATGTAAGTAGCAAGAGGTAGGAAATGTAAAAATAGTAGGCTGTTTGAACACTGATTATCTCATTTTTTACAGTGGAGGATCAACAGATATTGTTTAAGATAGGTAAGTTAAGAAAGAGAAGTGGAGCTGGGCGTGGTGGCGCACGCCTGTAGTCCCAGCACTTGGGAGGCAGAGGCAGGCAGATCTCTGTGAGTTCAAGGCCATCCTGGTCTACATAGTGAGTTCCAGGACATCTGGGGCTACAGGGAGACCCTCTTTACAGTGGAGGATCAACAGATATTGTTTAAGATAGATAAGTTAAGAAACAGAAGCTTTAAATCTTATTTAAAGCATAATATGGACTCTAAATCATAAATAATTATAGTCAAAAATTAGTTGGTAGCAGAGAAATAACGATCAGAAATAGTGGATACATGATTTCCTTGTCATTTACACAGGGAAGAATTTTTTTATATATGGACATCAAAATATTTTAACTTATTAACAAATGGTTTTGTTCTTATTGTTTCTGGTTTTGTTTTGGGTGTTTGGGGGGGTGGTTTTGTTTTTGTTTTGACAGGGTCCCCCTGTAGCACCAGGTGACCTGCAACTTGCTATATAGACCAGGCTGACCTTAATCTCACAGAGGTCCCCAGTGCTATAAAAAGAAACTTCTTTACCCCTGAATTAAAGAGCCATGTAAATGCAAACAACAAATGTGAGTTAAAAATCTATTTACTCGTAGTCTAACAACTGAAAATCCAATTGAAATAACCATATGCAATTCTAATACTAACTGTCCAGAGTCAGCACACACTCCCCAGTCCCCTGTAAAAAAAGACACTTGCTTTAGACACTCCATCCATGCTCATGGTACCTTCCTTAGCCACCCAAACTTCTGAATTCCCATGACCTTCTGATGACCAATAATTCACTAAAACAACTCAAAAAACTCAGGAAAGTGGTATGGCTACAATTATTATAAAGGCTGTGCATTAGGAGCAAGGAAATAGGAGACCCACGGGGCAAGGACTGGGAGGATTCCAAAGGCAGAGCTTCTTTCTGGCTCATCTTCCTATAAAATCAGGACTTCCTCACTCTGCCAGCACATAAACATGCTCACCAACCAGGAAACTTACCAGGGCTTCCATTTGAAAGGATCCAGTGCTTTCAATGGGGGTTTCATTACATACGTATGATTGAGAGACTCACAGTAACACAACAGAACTCAGTCCCAACTCTCAATCCACATTCTGTCCCCAGAGGTCTGGCTGATACCATCTAGCTCAAGACTCAGTTATCTAATCATACACTTAGTCCTTCCAGTATGGTCAGCCCCTATCCAGAAATTATCTTGGAGCCCATCATCTAGGAATGACATCATCTCACCAGCATGTCAGGTCCTGGTCCAAGGGGCCAACCATGATAACAAAAGTATCTTTTGCACTTAAGAATGCCAAGATTCTAGAAATTCCTTTACAAGAACCCAAGAGAACAACCAGAACAATTATTTATTGTACAGCACCTATTCACCATCAATTCTATACATCTCAAATACAGTAATAATAATTTTAAAATGCTAAAATAGGCCTGACTCAACAAAAATCTGAGTTTGATTCCCAGGACTCACATGGAAAAAAGATAACCTACTCCTGCAAGCTGTTGTCTAATCTCTAGACATGCACTGTGGCATGCACGCACACACGCACACACATGCACATACACACACACATATAAATAATAATTTTTAAATTTTACTTATTTTGTTTTATTTTATTTTGTGTATAAGTGTTTTGCATGTATGTATTTAAGGGCACACATCCAAGGTCCATGGAGGACAGAAGAGGGTGTCAGACCCCCTGGAACTGGAGTCGTAGACAGTTGTTAGCCACCATGTCAGTGCTGGAAGCTAAACCTGGGTCCTCTGCAAGAGCAGCCAGTGCTCTTAACCACTAAGTCATCTCTCCAGATCCCCTAATTGTAATTTTCTAATGTGATAAAAAAAAAGCAGAAATCAGAAGTGTTTAGCTGGAGGCCATAATTAGAATTTCACTTATAGAAAGGAGTGAAACACTGATACATGCTGTAATTTTCATGGGCCTTGAAAACATCATGCTAAGTGCAGGAAGACAGACATAAATAGCAATATATATGATTCATTTCACATCAAATAGCCAGTATGAAAATCCAAAGAGGCATAAAGCTCCTTAGTAGTCGCCAAGGAACAGAGAAGAGAGAGCAGTGATTACTGAATAGATGCGGGTGCTGCAGGATAAGAAAAACAATTCTAAGAGAGATGATGACTGTACAATATTATGACTGCACTAAATGTTAATGAATTACATACTCTAAAATGGTTAGTTATATGTTACATGTTATCCTGGCACTTCTAAGGCTAGATGATCACAATGAATTTGAGGCCACCTGGGCTCCAAGTGAGTTCAAGGCCATCTTGGACTACACAGTGAGACCCTTTCCAAATAAAATCTTTTTCAAATAAGGGATCTGAAATTCTGGTCTGTATATTTTAGGCCACCAAGAAAATTTCACAATGGAGTGCTATATGATTTTTAAGAATACTCATTGTGCTAATTCAGATGCAAATATGTATATGTATGTCTCGTGTGTTTACAACTGAGAAACAAACTGCTTTGCAAAGATATTATAGTCTTTCAATTTCAGTGCTAAAACACTTGTGCTTTACTATGTAACCCTCTTCTATCAACAAATATTCTTTTCAAACTACATATTTCCCCCAACCTGATAAACATCACTACTACAAATAGAATCACTACTGCTACTCTGTCATTAAAATATGCTTTTTCTTCCAGGACAGCTGGGGCTACAGGGAGACCATGTCTGAAAAAGACCAAAGATACCACCAAAATCCCTAACAATAAACTGTGGGTATTTAAAATTAACTTTAAGTAGCTTATATAGGCAAAAGCCTATACTACACACACTAATTTTTTTCTGATCCAAAGGATAGCCAGTTACTTAAGTACAGATAAAAACCAGTATTTCATTAACTATAATCATGGTGTCTATTTTCAATGCTATAAACTAGACAAACATTATAATGCCAAACTCCTTACTTTCTTCTTTTCAACAAAATGTCTGAGTCTTTCCCATAAATTTTACGTTTTACCTTTGTTTTTGTTTGCATCCGTGTAAGAAAATCCTGGCACTTGTCCTGTCTTTCGGCCAAAGAGGCCCCAGAGATTTGGACCCGTCTTGTGCTTTCCACCTTTCTCCACTGTGTGGCACTGAGCACATTTCTGAACAAAGATCTTCTTGCCTGCTTCAGCGTCTCCCATTTTGTTCTGCAATGAAACCTTAAATCACTGACCAAAGAGAATAGCAGATTTGCAAACCTGGGAATAAAAGGGACTTCCATTAGTTTGGTTGAAGTGAATGCTAATGATATAATATCATATATTTATCATATTTATATTAATATAAAACATTTAAATCATGCGTGCTTTAATATGTGGATATTCAAAACACAGAAACATTATAGCACCCAATTTTTAAGACTTAATCATTTCATTTGTCAGACTTATTTTAAATTTCTATTAAAAGCATCTTCATAAACTCTTATTGGTATAAGCCTGGTTTTACTTCAGCCTTCAAACAATTATATTAATTTGAATACATATACAGATCATGTGAAAAATGTAAGTTCCTTTTCTTCAAAGAATAGAAGAAATTGGGGCTGGAGAGATGGCTCAGCGGTTAAGAGTACTGACTGCTCGCAGTAAAGAAAGATGAAATCATGAAATTTGTAGGTAAATGGATGGAACTAGAAACTGTTATACTAAGTGAAGTAACACAGACTCAGGAAAAAAATCGACATATGTTCTCCCTCATATGTGGATCCCAGAACCAGACTCTGATAAATAAGTATGCAAAC